TTTTTTCTGAAGAAGGGTCTCGGCCCGAAACGTCAGCTTTCCTGCTCCTCTGATGCGGCTTGGCCTGCTGTGTTCATCTAGCTCTACACCTTGTTATCTAACATAATTCATACCAGGTTTAGTCAGGAGCAGCGACAGAAAGAACTATTTAGTGCAATACTATTCATTGTTAACTTTAACAAGAGCAGTGAAAAAAGGATTTCCAAACCATGCAACTTAAATGATACCTGTTCAAAACCAGTGATTACATGCAAACATACACATAGGCAAATGAGAAATGATCTAACACATATACTATGGGTGGGGAAAAAAATACAGGATAAACAAAATTCTGAAATCCAAGAGTCCAGGCCACGAAGAACAAATTTATTTTCAGTCTTTTTGATTTTTGCAATGCTGACATACTGTTGTCTGCAGACTGATGGTTGTTCTTCAGTTTGATAGTTGATCAGGTGGATCTTCATTTGTCCTGTCACAATACAGGAACAAATGAAGCAAGTGCAAGAAAGAAAAAAAGATGTACAGATGGATGCTTTCCATTTGCAGGCTCTAGATATTCCTTCTCTGCAGCTCTTGGTGTGACAACATTTTAAAACCTGGCAGCTGCACAGACAAAGGGCTGTTATCAAGCACTATCCTTAAGTTGAAAGATTCTCGGGGCTGCTTGATCTTAAATTCTTTGTTTCACTACTTCAAAAAGAAATACTGTTTTTGGTGAGCATTTGACATCCCTTTTCTGAACTGCACAATCTGAAGCTGGTAGTTCTTATTTCGTGACTGAAGTGTTCATTTAACCTCCTTCTCTTTGTAATTTTCCCTCTCACTGCTTCAAAATGCAGCATTGTACCGCATAGCTCAACAATACAAACCTTGCTGGTTTTTTTTCCAAAAAAATATTTTTGGTTGAAACAGTGAGCTGAGAGTTGAAAGTGACTTTTCGACTGGGCAGTAGTTTGTCTCTCTTAAAAAAAGGAGAGCAAACAAACTGATCTTTGTTTGTAGTACCTGGTCTAGCTATTAATTGCAAGTTGATTCGTGTTTAAAGAATGCTGTAGGAACATTTTGGTTCCATAGATGCGTCATACTCAACTTTTGGCAGATGTTTGGATGTTAACAGGGTGCCATCACAGGGAGGCCACTGCTAACCAGCCTAACAAAGCTAATGTTAAATCAAAAAGAAGGAGAGAGAAACCAAAGTTTGAACTGTGTGTTTTTTGTCAGAAGGATTATGGCTGCCAAAGCTACAGGTCAGCAGTCTCATTGCTCCCTTGTTACCTTCGATTATCAACTTATTGGAAGTTTGTAGAATAGAATCTCAGAATTAAATGACAATCCCTCGGAGCCAACTGGAAGTGTTTCCATTCATTGCTGTCTTCAGAAATCAAGCAATATACAATTCCAAGTGCCCATGATACTATGCATCTTCAAAACTGCTCAAATGAGCAGGCCAGGTACAACTTCTCCCTTAACTGTGTCTGCTTGCCTCTCCACAAGAGAATGGGCTCAATTTTGAGGATCATTAAATGTTTTAATTAAACTGTGTTGTGAATAAAGGGATAGAGAGGCTGATTTGATTTTTCTATCTTTGTATTGTAATAACATACAGCTGATTTTCAAATTGTAAAACTTTCCTCATTTTTCAGTCAAAGCAGTTCAACTTCCATTTCAGTTTATAGTCAATGAAAAATATGCTGTCTCTTAGTGTATATTTAAAAAAAAACACACAGTAACAGTAGTTGGACAGATGAAGAAAGCATACAATACCTTACAATCTATACAGTACAACAGCAGGCTGGTTCTTCATAAGACTTCAGATGCAGTATTGTGTACAGTTCCAGATGCCACACTTTAGGAAGACGTGAACGTATTGGAGAGAATACGGAAGATGTGCACAAGAATCGTTCCAGGGTGAGAAGCTTCAGATATAATGATTGATTGGAGAAGTTAGGATAGGTTTCATTGGAGGAGAAGGCTAAGAGGAGATTTAATTGAAGTTTTCAAAATCACGAGAGGTCTGAACCAAGTGGAGAGAGAAATCTTTCCCACTCATAAATTAATCAAGAATGAGAGGGTGCAGACTTAAAGTGATTTGTAAAGTAGCAAAGGTGATTTGAGAAGAAACCTTTTCTCGCAGGCAGTGGTTTGCATCTGGAATGCACTGCCTCAAAGAGTGACGGATGCAAGTTTAATAGAGTCACAAAGCAGGCATTAGATGATTATAATAAATAACGAGCAGGGTCATGGGGAAAGGGTAGAAAGATGGCAATAAATCATGAGGCTCATTCAGAAAACTGCACAGACATCTTGGGCTGAATGACATTCTTCTGTACCATTAACAATTCTGTGATTCTGTGATCCACTTGGGGTGTAAAACTATAAAAGGCACTTTTTGTAATTATATGGGGAGAGATTGAGAAATGTTAGTATTCAAGTTGACCTTGGGTGTTCTTGTACATGAGTCATAAAACATTAGCCCCCAGGTACAGAAGGAAATTAAGAAGGAAATGATATGTTTGTCTTACTTATGAAGAGGTTTGAAGAAGAGGGTGTAAAAGTCACATTACAATAAAAGGAAATTGTTGAGATCACACATGGAGTATTCTGCACAATTTGGTCTTACTACCCTGGGAAGGATATAGTTGCTTTACAGAGAATGCAACAGAGGCTAAGCAGGCAAATTACTGGGATGTTTCTTTAGAAAAGATTGAGCCATTAGACATGAATCCTCTAGAATTCAGGCAAATGAGAGATGATTTCTTTGAAACACAAAATGCTTAGAAGGAGTTGAAACTGGCAGGATAGTATCTTAGAATCCCTACTGTGCAATCAGAGGCCATTCAGCCTATCAAGTCTGTACCAACCCTCTCCCCGTAACCCCACATTTACCATTGTTAACCCAAGCCTGCACATCGCTAATGTTGTTTTCTTTGGTGTGTGTATGAACATAGGAATCTGATATACTTATGCTGAATGTTGTTTTTGGTTAGAAATAGTAAGATGATTAAAACAAAAACACACAGTCTAAAACAAATTTTTCCAACCAACTGGAAGAATAAAGCTCAGCTCAGAGGTCAAAACAGTAACGGGGAATAGAACACAATCACGACCCTGGTCTGACTAGCATAAACTGATCTCTTTTAGTTTAAGATACTACTTCGTCACAGGACACTGAAAGAAATCTGCGAATTTTCTTTTATATCATGCAGTTACACATGACAGTGATTACTATTTTGGATCCTAATGTACATTTCAAAACAAAGCAGTTTCAAAAGTTAAAATCCAATTATCAAGCAAATTTAGATCTGGACCAATCATAGCAACAATTTCTAACCTTCAAATTATGAATCATTGAGAACATTCAGTAGGAGACAACATTTTCTTCTAATAGAAAGTATCATCAGGTTATTTTGGCCAGTAAAGGCTACAGCAACCTTTTCTAATGAATAAACACTATCCTGAATGCTACAGTTAACTTAAGGATTTCTGGATTCTAAAATTCTCAATATTTTGCCTGTAAACATTACAATCATTGCAAGGGTGTGATACACGTGTACTTACCCCAAGATGGGAAACAGAAAAAAGAATGTTGACACCAGCGTAAATATTCGAAGCAGCCACATGATAGATTCAATCTTGTTGCTCATCATGAATTGCTTTCATTGTTATATGCCAGGAAATAAAGAAAACAATATTATTAATTGTTTAACAAAGAAATACTTTATAATAAGTAATCTAAATCTAAGTGGGGTATTACTGAGTGGGACATCCCAGGAATCAGTATTGAAAGTGTTACTGTTTCACACTTACTTTATAACCTGGACTCAGGACGTCAATTCAAATTAGTCAACTTAGCAGACAATATTGAGGTGAAAATGACAGTGTAATTAAAAGAAACAACTTAGGCAAGGCAGAATAAGCTGGACAAAATGGGTAAGGCAAAAAACTTCGGATGAAATTTAATACAGCCGAACATAAACATATTACAAACACAAGGAGAAATGGGCAACAATTGGTACTGACAGAGGTACAAGAGAAATTGAAAGACATCTGACAAACACAGTAGATTTAATATTTAATGTTTTTAACCAATACAAAACAGCAAAGTCATTAGAATAGTTGGACAAATAGCCACAATAGTCATTTAGAAGTCAAAGGAAATCATGATCACTGTGATATCCAATGTTTGAATGTGCAAGGACATTTGTGTCTTAGGATTCTTAGCTGGAAGGGAAGACTGAAGAAATCTGGGTTCCCCAGTTTTAAAAACTGACCGAGGAGCAGCACTCCAAAAGCTTGCGATTTCAAATAAACCTGTTGGACTATAACCTAGTGTCATGTGACTTCTGATCTTGTCCACTCTAGTCTAACACTGGCACCTCCACATCATAAAAGTTTTATGTTAGATGTGACTTTTGAGTTACGTGAGATTGGAAATGGTAACCAAGAGATAAATGAGAAATATTCTTTTAAATGAAGTAGTATGAGCCGATTTGAAGTTCTAAGTTTAACTTTTCTTCAGAATGATGAATACATAAATTGGACTCTTGAATGGATATTACAATAGGAACTTTAGCACTATTCTAAATAGGAAAACAAAGAAAAGTCATGTCAAATGACTTTTCTGACCTACTAATTATCTTGAAATTTTTCTAACTTCCCATTTCTTGTCACACATCAGGCAAAATTGCAAAAAATTTGGAAGCCAGGTCAGAAAAGAATTCAGCAGAAAAATTTAAATGAGAATATTCCTTCTAAAAAATGGTTGTGGCAATATTAAACTGTTCTATTTCCTGCACTTTGCATTTTTGTGGCTTTTAACATCTAAAGTGTGCAACTTCTTCATAATGATGACAACTAATTTTGTCCAAATAAAACAGAGGTGACAGTCCATGTTACAGGTGCTGTGATTGCAGAATTTGAACTAATATGTAGGAGTCAGGGATGCATGCTCTTTCTTTCACGCCAGTTGTTTTTACGACTTGTTAAAGCAACAGGATACATTCACTCAGAATTTATGTCATACCAACATATATTTTACAGTATAGCATTTTGAGAATACAAAATTTGGAATTCCGCTGACATTCATAAACAGCTGTGTTTTATGAGTTTATGAAGCCGGTGTTTGGCTACTGCATTGTCAATCAGTTATTTTCATTTTAAATACTTGCCAAAATGTGACTCCACTTTACATTTGAATGAACAGACACACTCACCAAAGCAATTACAGCACTTTCCTGGTTTGTACTCATGAAAGAGTTACAACCAGTTTCTTAAAACTAAAGATAAACTTTATTTACTCAGCCGGAAATTTCAGGATCAGACTAGTGCAAAAAAAAAACAAATTCCACCAACTTGAACAACATTAATTGCTAAGATTTTGAGAATCATATTAACTCAACTTAACATAGAGCTAAATGCAAAAACTAGCAGGAACAATGGAAGTTATGCCTTCTAGTGGAAAACAGAATTGGTCTCAGAAAAAAGAAATTTTAAACATTCAGTTTAGAGTCTTGCTGTCCTACAATTTAGCCATAATTGTATGTCATTCAGAACTGGTGTAAATGTCTAAGAATTATACTCCGTTCCCTTGTCTGATGACTGGAGTTACGTTAATAACCCAACTAGTTTTGCCAACTCGGGAGTGGCACAAATGGTTGAAGAAATTGACACTTGGCGATTTTTTTTGCAAAAGACAGTTGCAAATTTCCTCCTTAAACAGCCCAAGTACAATGAGGCATTGTTAGAAATTCCAAGCTATTGTATTTTGTTGTCTTCCTCCAGATTCAACATATTTTGACCTTAAATTATTTTTAAAAGAATTTATTCTTTAATGACTTTATTTTCTATCCTGTTTATTTATTGTTTTAGTTTTATTTTACTTCCATTTTGTATTTTAAACCCCTTTCAATCACAGGGCAATTATAAATTTTCCCCCAGTTTTTTTTTTAAAATTTAGATCACTACCTTACTGAGATTGCAATCACAGTCATACAGTGCTTATACACTTACTTATCTGATCATTTCAGGTTTACTTAAGTTGACACAAAAACTGCAATGGGAATTCTGTCTAATACTATTGAGGACAAAAGCCCAAATATGATGCTCCACCACAACTGTTAAAACATCAACTTCAACAGAATTATAGTTTTTATTCTTAACCAATAATAACAATAGGAGTAACAGCCCAAACAAATATTTCTTCTGGATTCTATCTGGATGCTTCACAGCATGGTTTGGCAACGGCTCTTCCCAAGACCGCAAGAAACTACAGAGAGTAATGAATATAGATTGGGCTGTAGGCTCTTCTGAATTTACAAAGTGGAAAGACCTGTACCATACTTGAACTGACTGTTAGATAGCCAGCAGCTCGGAAAAATACCTACCAGCAGTTCACTTTCTCAACTGGACAGCCAAGGAGCAGTACGAATTTTAAAAAAGAAAAAAATAAGGGTGGTTAAGCCCAGGTTAAGTCCCCTGTCAACAACAATTTACACAAGTTCAGCTTTGAAGGCAGCAGGCAGCCTGAACTAAATCTATGGAGGTTGGTATTTCATCACCAAGTCACCCTGTATTTATTTACATATCACCAGTCCTTGAATTTAGTACTGCCTCATTCGGAGAGTGTCAGTATTTCTGACACCACTTTTTAATCTGTCAGCCAGGGCTCCCTGATAGGACCAGATTAACAGCCCCAACCAGGGAACTTATGTTCTATGTGATGCCCAGCTGGCTGACCTCATTACAATCACTAAACAGCGCTTACGATCCATCCTGTAACTGAGCTACAGTTGGGGAAATTCAGTTAAAATCCAAAATTCTTATCACTGTCTGGTATTTCATACTGGAATTAGGAGATTAGCTAAAGAATTAGGCTAAACTGTGATGAACTGGCACTACAATAATGGTCCTGACACCAACTCTAAATTTGTATGATCTTACGAAACATTCACCAATTGGGGCGGGTACCCAATATATGCATTTGATGGTGAAACTGCACTCAAGTCTGAAAAAAACACATCTGAGAAAGGAGAAAATGGGACAGAAATTTAAAGACAACGAGACTCACAATTACACTGCATCCACTAGGATTCTGTGGACAGTAAGAAAGCAAAAACTTGGAAAATTCACTACAGTGGTCTGAAAGCTTTCAGAAGTTCAGATTTTTAATAATACGTTGCACCCAACCCACGCTGTCATAATTCAATAAGGCTATACTTTTCAAATCATTTTTATTTACTTAAATAAAAACAAAGAGCAGACAGAAATAGATTGTTCGAAGTATTTTTCTGAGTTTAGTTTCCCAGTCTATTACATAGCAGCAATGACAATTAAGAATTAGATTCTGATGCTTTTTGTCCTTCTAATGCAATTGTTGAAATACAGGGTATAATCACATTCCTTACTGATCAGGTGAATCCTTTATGATCAATTGATGAATTATAGAAATAAAAAGATAAATACTTACCGAGACCGAAACCGGTGTGTTTGTTTTAGCACTACCATTGCCAACATCAGCACATCCACTTAGGTCAGTAGGTTGCGTAGACCTATCAGTTGATCCTTGCTCCGCCATTTCAAAATTCTCTGATTTGAAACAAGAACACAACATTAGCTCTCCAGTCCAAAAATTACTTTTTTTTTCTACAAGAAACAAGACCTCAGCAACCTTTAACACATGAATATCTCATGGAGCTTCATACAGCTGCATAAAATGAATTCTGAGCTATTGAGGAAATATTAAGAATAATTAACAGCTAGGTCAATTAAGCAAATTTTATGAAGGGTTTTGAAGGAGGTGGAGGAATTGAGAGAGTGAGATTAGGCCTAGAGGATTGAAAGTACAGCCAACAAGTAAAGAGGAGTTATGAGGCATACAAAAAAAGTCCAAGATCAGAGGGGCAGAGTGCAAAATAGTTTTGCTAGAAGACTGTACAGATAACATGAGCAAAGGCATCAAAAAGATAAAAAGGGAATGATTTGTGTATTAGAATTCAATGCATTTCAGCAAGGGTGGCAGAGGCTGATGCAGGATGAAATGTGGAAAACAGTGTTCAGGATGGGCTAACAAGGTGTAGAGCTGGATGAACACAGCAGGCCAAGCAGCAGCAGAGGGGCAGGAAAGCTGACATTTCGGGTCTGGACCCTTCTTCAGAAAATTTTCTGATGCTGTGTTCATCCAGCTCTACACCTTGTTATCTCAGATTCTCCAGCATCGGCAGTTCCTACTCTCCCTTCAGGTTGGGCTGATATCTAAAGATGACAAAGGGCGGCAGACTGGATAGAACGGAATTGGACCAGTTTTTCTCTTTATTAATTCTTTCACATGATGCAGTTGCTGTTGGCTGGACCAGCACTTATTGCTCATTGCCAAATACTGCACTATAAGCATTGAGGGTTGGGGAGGTATAGATACAAACCACTGTGCTTTTCGGAAGGGAGTTCGAGAATTTTGTCCCAATGATGGTGAAGGAAGTCATCAGCATATTGTGTGGCATTGTGGGAACTTGAGGTGATGCTGTTCCCATCCAGCTGCTGCCTTTGTGTTCCTAGACGGCACAAATCACGACTTTGGAAGCCATTTTTGGATAATGTCAGACTCAAGCACATTATTTCAGACAATACTTGAAAGTTTTTATCAAAAAGCCTGATGAATTAGGTCCCTGCGTATAATATTACCCTTGGCCATATCTGCCCCAGACAGTCCCGAGACTGGAGCAAAAACATAATTAAATATGGGCACTCACAACTGTCTGGGAAACTGGCATATCTTTTCTCTTAGGATGGAAAAAAGGAATCACAACTTACCAGCTGACTCATTTTTGTCATACCACGAGCAAAAAGGGATATTGAAAGTGAATGGGTGTTAGCCAAAATATGAAAATAGATCTCATCAACCTTTCATTTCTGATGATGGCCTCATTCAAACTAGGCAGGATGAATTTCAAAGTAACAAATGACAAACAAGACGTGTAATCAATACATTTTCCTTGGAAGGAAAGACAATGTCAGGTAGATTTTTGCCTCATGCAAAACAATACTTTTCGCTATTCCGGTACACGTGACAATAATAAATCAAATTTATTCATTCACTGAATGAGGGCATCGCTGGCTAGACAGCATTTATTGCCCATCCCTAATTGCCCAGAGGGCAGTTAAGAGTCAACCACATTGCTGTGGGTCTGGAGTCACATGTAGACCAAACCAGGTAAGGATGGCAGTTTCCTTCCCTAAAGGACATTAGTGAACCAGATGGGCTTTTCCTGACAATCAACAATGGATTCATTATCATCATTAGATTCTTAATTCTAGACATTGATTAAATTCAAATTCCACCATCTGCCGTGGCAGGATTTGAACCCAGGTCCCCAGAACATTATCTGGGTCTCTGGATTTACAATCAAGTGATAATACCACTAGGCCATCGCCTCCCCATCACAAATTCAATCAAATCTGCTGCAGGTCCAATCCAGTAGCTACACTATTCAAGACTCGGCCATATTAGGCACTGGGTGGATGTGAAGTCCTTAAACGGACATAGATTCTGTGCCCTTGCCACTCTCAATGCTTCTTCCAGTTGCTCTCCAACACGGAGAAGTATCAATTCATCAGCTGAGGGTGTGGGAAAAGAGGCATTGGCAGAGGACAGTTAGCAGGAGGTTTCCTTGCTCGGTGTTGACCTGTTGCTATAATATTCCACTGGGTAAGGCATCAATGTTAAAGATTCATAGGCAATAGAGATGATACCTGAGGTAATTGTGCAGAAGTGGCAAGCGGAGTATTAATGGCGAACCTCTAGCTACATTTAGATATCCATTAACAGAATCAGCTAAATAGCATTTCCAGCCACCTGACTAATGGTCTAGATCATAGAATCCCTACAGTGAAGAATCAGGCCCTTCGGCCCAACAAGTCCACACCAACCCTTGGAGCATCTCACCCAGACCCATTCCCGTATAACCCACCTAATCTACATATCCCTGAACACTACAGGCAATTTAGCATGGTCAATTCACCTATCCTTCACACCTTTGGACTGCGGGAGAAAACCGGAGTACCCGGAGGAAACCCACGCAAACACGGGGAGAATGTGCAAACTCCATACAGTCACCTGAGGGTGGAGTCGAACCCAGGTCCCTGGCACTATGAGGCAGCAGTGCTAACCACTGAGCCACCATGCCAGTGGAGAAGCACTGGAGGAGGCATTGGAGGAGGATGGTCTGATCAACTGGATTAAATATACAAGTCAGTGCAAGAATGACAAGTGTAAATAATTTGCCTTTCTCACAGTCACATCAGATGGTACTTGTGACTTTAAAGAGATTTTTCAGCAGCATGCCAAGGTGAAAATCCAAATGAAGGAATTCAAACATTGAGTTTTGCAAAAGGCAGGCAGAGATGTTCTTCAGGAGAGGTTAGTAATTGTGTAGCAATTGCAAGCATTTTTATTAAGGAGTCGGCATTAAGACTTGAATATCCCTTTCAAGTCTATCATTAGCCTCCTTACAATTCACTTAATTGTGTTCTGCTCATTGAAATCTAAACCATTAAGATAGAAGTACAAGAGTTCGAACACTATTTTCTGGGAGAATCCACCACATATCTTCCTCCTTCCTTCAACACTACTCTCTATACTTCGTATTCACGCTGTTACTGCTCCTTTTGTAAATAGGTTTCAATTTCATGAGCAAACCTACTATTTAGCACTTTAATGAACACTTATTGAAAAAAAGTGCAAATAATCACAGCCATATTTCAAACTGTGCAACATAATGTTTCTCTATGGAGCAGTAAAAAAAGAGGGGAATTCGAGACTGAGCAGTGTTAAGAATCTTTTATGTTAGGGGCCCAGCCTGACAACAGCTTCTGATTGGTTGATTTGTGCAATGTTGAAACGATGCATGCACCAATATCAGCTGAGGAGAAGAAACAGCTAGAACTTGCAGACAGAAAGCATTCATCTCTCCCGGTGTAGGGAAAACTGAAAACCAAGAAAGCTTAAAACAAATAATTCTAAAACTAAGATACATTCGGTCCCACTGAAGCGAGCAATGATAATCACCTACTGTCATCGGTTCTAAATTCAAAAGGATTGAGAGAAAATAACTTTCCACTTTATGGTCTGAACTTTTGATCTTCAGAATTTTGTTTACACTGACTATATATTTTTTCCCCACCCATAGCGTCTGTGTTAAACCATTTGTCTTTCATCTGTTTTAAATCATGAGTGTGTGTGTATTTGGGGAGGTTTGAAGGGGTATAGTTCAGGTTACATAGTAACAGATTAAAATCGTTTCTTGTCTCTGTTATTATTCAAGTTGTACATTAGAATAAGGAGAGTTATTCTTCTGTTACTGACTAAATCTGGTGCAAATTGCTTTTGTCCTGAATAACAGTGGCTATGCAGCTGCTCTGAATTTCCTTTGAGATTTGCCACACATGGATTGGTGTTCTGATACATTTGACTTCCAAAATTAGAAGCCATACATGCACAGACCTCAGAGGTCCATATATCAAATTAAAAAATAGAGGGAGTATTGGTAGTCAGTTAGTAAGGTAAATTGATCATTTTGGTGGTCTCATTTGGATTTTATTTGTTTTGCAATGGCTTGCTGAACAGTGGGACACAATAATCATTTTTCATTTCATCTATTCATGGCACGAAGGCTTCACTCGCCCCAGTTAAATTCTGATAATTTATATGTTGATGAAAGACTTTTACATTCCCTTTCACGTTTGCTGAAAGTCCCTTCGCATGCTCGTTCACACTCATTTCCTTTATCACTTCCCCTCCAAGTGCTTCATATTCAGCCTGGTTCTCGCTTGTATGATGAAACTGACAACTGTCATAAATCATTTTTCTGCTTAAGTTTACCCTTACACCATCCACCAAGTTCTGGCTTTGATTGCTAGTCCTTTCTCTCTATTGTGCGAATACATTACGTCTGCATCCAAATAATTCTTTTTAAAGATACCCCTTGTTCAATATTAGATTTTCCAGCCAATATTTGATTGCAGTTTAACTGGTTCAGATCTGTTCTCAAACAATTGACAGCAGCCCTTCTCCAGTTAAATACTTCTACTAAAGACTGTTCCTTATCCTGTTCAATAGCTGAATAAATCTTATGATACCATTCTCTCAAATGTCAAGCTTACACCACGTATTTGAAGACACCTCATTCCCCTGTGTAATCCAAGGTCACAATACCAATGTCAAAAAAAATCCATATTTATACTGGCAGCCAGATAGATCATGTAAAGCATGATCCGGACCCAATATACCAGGGAGTGGTTCTATGTAGCCCTTTGACCTTGTAGGAATATCTGAAGAAAACAGCATAAGACCATAAGACATAGGAGCAGAAATTAGGCCATTCGGCCTATCAAGTCATTCAATCATGGCTTAAACATTCCTCAACCCCATTCTCCAGCTTTCTCCCCATAACCCTTGATCCCAAGAACCTATCTATCTCAGTCTTAAATGTACTCAATGACCTGGCCTCCACAGCCTTCTGTGGCAGTGAATTCCATTGATTCACCACTCTCTGGCTGAAGACGTTTCTCCTTATCTGTGTTCTAAAAAGTCT